TATATATTTTAATTAATATATATTTTTTAATTAGTGGAAAGTAAAACCAATCTAACATCACAATGGAAATCATGTTTTATTGAATAAATTTTTCCTGTAGGCATTCTCTGGCGATGGAACAAAGCTGGCCTAGCAGAGACACGGCAGCATTTTCTAAAACCCTTTAATTCAGGAGCTCACGAAATGTGGAAGAGGAAATGATCGACAAATTACTTCCAAAGTCCCAGTCTCCTTTGTTTGTTCAGGTCATTCAGAATATCACTATCACATTAATGGAATTTTCTTATTTCTATTTGCAGGTCCTTTTGTATGCACGTTGTTATCTGATTTGAAAGGAAGAAGGAAGAAACTCTTCTTCATTTTCATGTTTTCTGAAAGCCTAGTTCACTTGCCAGATGTGTTGAGTGAACAGTTTTATAGGCTATCATGACAGAGATGTCCTTCACACTTTCATTTATCTTGTCCCTGATTTTCTGACTTCTATTTCTTTAATTCTTATGTTATCATTTAGCTGTTACTTATCCATGTTATGATTTAAGCTTAGGCTGGAAAAATCTATAGGTCCCTGTAGTCATAGCGGAGTAGGAAGTAAAAGCTAAACCCCAGTTGCTGAGTATTTGCAGATAACTCAGGCAAAAGATAGCTTTAATTGTAACTGTATTTAAGTGTGTGCCTTCTCACTCCATCCAGGTAGTTAAATTGACTGGAAGGATAGTCCCAGGTTCACTGCAAAAGAACTTAATTCTTCATTTGATTTTACCCAGAGAGAACATTTTTATAGCGTTGTGATTCAGGGATGATAATTTCATTCGCAAATGGTGTGTTTTAAGCAGTAAACAAATATTACTTTTCAGACCCCAAAGATAAGTTTAGTCAAGGCTCAAATCATATAGTGCTAAATCTAGAGCCTGATTTCAAACAGGTTGACTGTGTTTCTTTATGGTGCAATATGACCGTGTATTTCGTGCTAGCAATGATAAGAAGGTGCAACAACCTTAACAAGAGTTGAGCAAGGGTCCCATCAAATCCTGTGTCTGCAGTTTCAGAGAATTACCGTTCATATAACAGATCTTATAGAAAATCTTTTCATTTCTATGAATTTCACTGAATCAGAGAATTTCTTTGCTACTTTATTTGGTTTCCTTCCTCCCGTAAGTAATTACTCTTTATTTTAAGTGACAGAATTCCTTTAATTTTGCATTTTTTCATCTTTATGTAGACCTCGGCCAAGATTAATCTGTCCAGAATATTCTGGGTACTTGGCTCTTCTGTTTCAGGATTGTAAATGGTATACAGCAGGCAGCTTGCCCTTCTCCTGCCTTCTAGGTTTATTTGAATGTAAATGTTATGTATATTTAAAAAAAGGTATCTCCTAGCACCTTTTCAATCTTTACCGAAGACGATGTTCAGGATTGCTACCTATACACAAACTCATATTGCCCTGTTGGAGCTTGGGAAATCTTTGATGCTGTGATTTTAAAAGTGCAATAAAAAATTCTTTCATCGTTAATTCCTCTTCTTGTCCATTTTCTCCATTTTCCACATCCCTCCTCTCATAATTTGTAATCTCTTCCCTCTTCTCATTAGTTTCTTATTTGACCACCTCTTTGCTCTTTCTTATTAAGAACCACTTTCTTTTCTGTATACTTTCCCTTTCTCTCAGGTTAGTGTTTCTTCTCTTTGGGCCCCAACTTCTAATTCCCACCTTCCCTCTAGTTTGTTTCTCTCTTTCGCTAAAAAAGAAACTGAGCTGGTTTTACTTTTATGGTTTAGAGTGAACTGATTTTAAGCCTTCACTTAAAATCAGTGCCCTGCCCCTACCCAGCAAGCAGACAAATTTGCCATTTGACCAGACTGTTGTTGTTTGTATACATATCACATGTGAACTAAGGGTGTGTGTGTGTGTGTGTGTGTGTGTGTGTGTGTGTGTGTTGGGGGAATAGAAAGTAAGGAGAGAAAGTAGCATGAGGTTGATCACATCATATTCTCAGGGCACCAAGTAAAAGGGTCCGTGTTCTTGAGGTAGTTACTAGCCCTAGTCTTACATGTTTATTTTGCTTTTGGTGGTAAAATAACATTAAAAGAAAAACTTCAGATGACTTAAATTTAACAGTTTAATTGAGTAAAGAACAATTTGCAAATCAGTCAGCTCCCAGAACCATAAAAGGTTTTGAGTGACTCCAGGGTTGGATAACATTTATGGACAAAAACAAAACAAAACAAAACAAACAAACAAAAAAAACCCAGAAACAGCTAGATTGGTTGGGGCAGGTGTTTGCCTTATTTGAACAAGATTTTAACGGTTGGCAGCCTGTGATTGGCTGAAACTTGGCTGCTGTGATGGGCTGAGGCTTGGTTACTTGTTATAAGAGTAGGTTACAGTCTATTTACATATCACATGATGTTATAGTTCATTATATACTGAGAAACCTTTAGGCCATACTGAAATATGCAGAGGTGCTGCTTTAGGCCAAATGTAATTCAATTTAATAATGGCAAAGAGAAGGCACTTTAGCCTTTTCTTTGTATGTTCTCTGCTTTTCATTTCAACCTATTTTCTTTCTCCTAATGAAGCCATTGAGATACTCCATTAAAAGCAGGGGCTGAGGTCTGGCATAATGGCTCATGCCTGTAATCCCAGCACTTTGGGAGGCTAAGGTGGGAGGATAGTTTGAGGCTAGGAGTTTGAGACCAGTGAGACGTCATCTCTACAAAAATTAAAAAATTAGCCGGGTGCGGTTGCCCATGCATCTGTGGTCTCAGCTACTTGGGAGGCAAAGGAGGGAGAATTGCTTGAGTCTGGGTGGTCCAGGTTGCAGTGAGCCATGATCACACCACTGCCCTCCAGCCTGGGTAGCAACAGAGTAAGACCTTGTCTCAAAAAGAAAGAAAGAAAGAAAAAAAAAATGGCCTGGGCTGAACTTTTGCATAAGGCTGTAGTTTGTGTACTTCTGAAGGTACTCGAGGCAGAGGCATTTTTGGACATCACCCTGGACGGCTTTACTTCCTGAGGGTTTGATTTTAGAGGTGGGTTGACCCTGCCATTTTCCCTCCCTTTTCCTCTGGACCCAAATCTGTCTCTCACATAGCTTCACTCTTATGTCTTCATAGGATTTGAAGGAAAAACACTATAGCGACTTTCCTTAGAACTTCATTTTAGAGTTGAGGATATTGACTTACACAAAAATCAGGTAATTTATTTAAGGTTATTCAGGAAATTGATAATAATTATGGGGACTGTATTTTTCAATCCCAAACTGAGACCCATAATCTGACAATAATACTCATCATAACAGCAGTAATGACAACAACAAACACAACAACAATCACTGCTGTTAGTTGAACATACACATTGCCAGGCATTATGTAAGGTACATATCATCTTATTTGATCCTCTCAACAACATTCTATGTGGTCATTTTTTATTCTAACTCTACATATAATGGAGGCACAGACAGAAATCCACTTTATGCGTAATAATGGAGCAAAGGTAAGTTGTAAACCGGAGTTTTACTATAACTTGTGCCTTACATAGTGGTGTGCTGGAGCCATCTTGTCCTGGCTCATGAGCGATGATTGTTAGCATCTCTTCCAAACTCAGTGTTCAGTGACATCAGGTTAGTTGCTTGAAATCTGCCACAATAGAAGTATTTATACCATGGAAATTGGCCAAGGCTAAATATTAGGGCATGGCTTTCTTTGCCAGAGAGCTGCTTGTTAAACATTTACCGACACATAACTGCTTACATGTGTTTTTACAATATTGTTCTTTTATCAATGAAAGAGATTTTTAAGTATCATGATTCTCCTAGAAAAGCTGGATCATATGATTACTATAGTGGTGTTAGGGGAAAAAGCTAAACTAAAATTTAGATGTCTGCACACTCCTGATTTAATGCTCTTTTTGACTTTTCTTGCTGGAATTTATTGTCTTTTATAATCTTAAGTCCACAGGTTATGTTTTAGACAAGGGCTATTTGGTAAAGGAACAGAAACTTACTCAATCCAATGTAAAGTGAAAAGAGAAAATACGTTGAGAAGGTCCAGTGGCACTGTGGATCTCATTCCCACAGAGTCCTGTAGCAGGAAGTGTGTCCTCCTGAGGGAGTGCAACATATAAACTGGAAAGAAAGTCAGTCCTGAGCACCTTGGCCTCATTGCTCTTGAACTTTCTAGTTTCATGTTGTTGCATCTCTCTGCATGTCCATGTTGGCAGATCAACCATTTTTGCCTCAGAGTGATATAGCCAACACCCTGATTCATTGGTATTCTCAGTCCAAGCAAGCGCCACAAGATTTACTGTTTTGAGCTCCCATTTTCCATTTTCCAGGAGAAAGACACTTGTAAGCCCAACAAGGGCCAGTTGTCCAATCAGCATGGATAGATGGTGAAAACAGAACGTCTTAAAAGGAAGTCTGTGGAAAGAGGTTTCTTCGAGAAGGCGGGAGTGGCTGGGAAATATTCCTCATTTTTAGTACAATGACTGGAAAGGGGGTGGTATGCAATACAGAGGAAGAAAAGCTAGATTGCAAGGAATTTAAGAGAAAAATCTGAGTCTTACTTATTTCTAAATATATGACACCTCACCCTGTGTTTGGCATTCCATAGACACTGAAAATAAAGTCCACAGGTAGCTCCTGTGGATGATTTTCCAAATAGTAAAATAAAAATTCAAAAAAAAGGTCTCCATAGTGAATTCTTATAATTTTATGTTGCCACAGCACCCTAATTTTCTCATATCAGAAGTAGGGCTCAATCACCCTGGACACAGCTTCCAGCTCTATACCACAGCCACTGGCTGGCTCAAGCCAGTGGCTGGAGAGAAAAATGTAGAGGCACCTTTCCTGCCTAGCAGGTAGGGCTGTCTTCTTTCCTGCTTCCTTTAAATGAACCACTAGGCATCTGCCCTCAAACTTAAAGTGACCCACAGTCTAATCCCTTATAAATACTGCTAGTCATTGCATGCTTCACTCTCTCTCTTCTTCTTTCTCCTCTCTCAGCTGGACTCTTCATTCCTGCCTTGTGTGACCCAGGGATGGAGGACTATACTTCCAACTCATTATCCTCTTTGCCCAGGAGCTGTAAGTAAAAATCTTTGAACTTGTTTTGTATTCTAGTGGTGTATTGAATTTGTATTTTCCATCTGAAGAAATAGGGGCTACCCTAGACCAGGCTTTCTTCAGGATACAGGCAAGAACACTGTTGGGCTCCCAGCACTGGAGCAATAGCCAGGCAGGCATAAACTGGACATGGGTCAGACGAGAGCCACAGGGATGTCTGCCAGTATAAACAAGTTTCCTGTGTGAGAAACTATCTGATCACAGGTTGAACAACTAGTCATTAGACTGTCTGCCAGGCAAAAGAAGGATCCTGTGAAAGGCACACTGTAAACGCCCAAGTTCAGCTCCCCTTCATTTCCCCTCAGGGCAGCGTTGATCATAGCTCTAATACTGGAACCCCTATTTAGCTGAGGGCTCTCAAAACTGTTTCTCCAAAAGAGAAAATAGAAGGCTAGTAGATAATTCTATAAACAAAACCATTCTAGTGGTCAATACAGATTATTACCAATGAGATCCATATGGGTCATCAAAGGGATTATGATGTCATTTTCAACACCCAGCTGTAACCTTCAGTTGGAAGTCCAGTTCAACATAAAAGTTTACCATTTTCAAATCCCCTCCCACACTGCTTTACCCCCTTACAAGGTTATGACTAAAAGCACAACCATTTAAAATAATCATTTTATGAAATTACATGCAAATAGAAGAAATCATGTTCAAATTGAAGAAAATGACCATGTTTTTGATATTCAATCTTTAGAAAATAGCTTTTAAAATAAGTGGTATACCATCCTTACTTTTTTCTGGTTAATGAGGAGCAAAATATGTGCCCTCAGGATCAGGAGCCCTAGAGTTCAAATGATCAGTGCAATTGTAAAAAATTCTTACCCTGCATGTTGAACTTAAAATCTCATAAGAAAAGATTTTATTTGTGCTATTAGAAGGTTACTGCCTAAAGCCTTCACTTTTCCAGAAAGTATTGTTAAGATTTAAAATAATTGCAATTAAAACCAGTCTACATTTTTCAAAGTTTGAAGAATGGTGGCTTGGTCTGAGAATTTGAATTTAGTTTTTACTCTTTTCATCATATGAATATATTAATACTTTACCTTTAAAATGCAATGAATATAATTCAACTGTTAATTTTGCAAGAACTGATTTTTTACACCGAGCACATCTACTCACAGCACATCTTGCTTTTAACTTCCATGTAAAATAACCTTTTCTGCTTAAGCAACTCTTCTAGTGACATTATCACCATCTCACTAAGTTTATTCTTATATGGAATTGTAGCCTGCTAGGAACTGGAGGAGGTACATTCTGGTTGACTTGTTTTAAGATCAAATAAAACAATCAATTACTCTATTCTTTCTAACTTATCTTCTTCTTTTTCTTTCTCTTGTTTCCACCTTTCCCTTGCCAGGTGTGAGACAGATGGTCATGCAGTGGAGAATAAACAAGGACCCTTTAATCCAGCTGGTGCTCTGCTTGTCTCACTTGTGGTGTTGGATGCATTCGGCTAACAGTGGGAATCCAGGGGACTGTGTGGTAAGGATGAGTGGGGTCATATACTGGGCTGCCTTTTTTCCCAGTACATAGTGGAATGGCCATGCAAGTTGTTAAAACACTAAAATATTTTTGCACTCGTTGATAAATAGCAACTGGTTAGGTCCCCTTAACACTAAGCTGTTCCCGTCACCCACCACCCTGGATTCCTGTGTCCCAGCTCTGGGGTATTTGGACCTGCCTTCCCACATCCAGTTGGATTGATACCTGGTACAAAAAGAAGCCTTAGGACTTCTGTTACTGCTTTTTAAAACCACTTGTATCTATTTGTTTTTATCCTATATGCAACCCAACTAATTCTTATATATATTAGAATAGTAGTTGTTTTAGTCCACTTTGCATTCCCATAAAGGAATACCTGAGACTGGGTAATTTATAAAGAAAAGAGGTTTGTTTGGTTCACAGTTCTGGAGGCTGTACAAGCATGGCATCAACATCTGCTCAGCTTCTGGGGAGGCCTCAGGAAGCTTTTACTCTTGGCAGAAGGCGAGGGTGGGGCAGGCATGTCACATGGTGAGAGAGGAAAAAAGAGAAGGGGGGGTGCCAAGCTCTTTTAACAACCAGCTCTTGCCTGAACTAATAGAGTGAAAACTCATTGATTATCACAGGGAAAGCACCAAGCCATTCATAAAGGATCCACCCCATGACACTAACACTTCCTACTAGGCCCCACCTCCAAAATTGAGGATCACATTTCAACAAGAGATTTAGAAGGGACAAATATCCATATTATATCAGTAGTCAAAAGCACAATTTCTGGTGTTACAAAATCTCTCTCTCTCTATGTGTGTGTGTCTGTGTACACACACACAGTATATATATATATATATATGTGTATATATATATATATGCAAATCTCAGCCTAGCTAGGACCGAGTTCCTTAATTTTCTTGAACCTCAATATCTTCAACTATAAAATGTAGAATATAATAATATTTATCTTGCACAGTTGTTGAGACGATTAAGTGAAATAATGTATGTAAAATGTTAGCAATGTTCCTGGCAATAAGTAAATTTAACATTAATTATAACTAACATTGTTTTCATGCTGCTTCATGCTTGAAGGTAGTCCTGTGAAATGTGTTCATCTCTATCCACCTGCCCAGAAATCAAGGTTGAGATTGTCAACATTAAGCATTCTTCCTTACTCTGAAATCTAATTCAAAACTTACTAGAGTCTAGTTCAATATTTAATATATTTTACTTATTGAAATTGTTTTCTTATTTTATAAAGGTTTAATTGCAACAATTCCTGAAACTTCTGTGTGTCAATGCCTGATTACACATACACAACTCCTCTTCACAGATTCTCTTTTCTTCTGTGTGCTTATTGCGAGCCATGCCCACTCCCACTTCCCTCTTATTGTTTACCTATTTTTTCCCACCTAGAATTCTCTTTCCATTAATTCTAATCTTTATGATTTAAGGCCACTGTAAATTCCTGTCTACTCTGGAAAAACCTCCCCAAATATCCAGTCTCAATAATGCCTTCTCCTTTGGCCTTTAGCAGAATTTATAACTTTGGATCCCCACTTTAAAACCAATTCACTCTATTGTTTCCAGTGAGTCTTTTCTTTACAACTAGATTGTACATGTCTTGAAGGCACAGACCTGAGTTTAGACAGTCATAGGAAGTATCATAACAGGGCTTTAATGGCCAAGCAGTTTTTTGAGAGGTCACAAGGAATATGGGCTTTCTAAAATATAAAAACACTTTAGACAGAGAAAGGAAAAATATATTTTGAAAGTTGATAAGTATAGCAGAGCATGTTAAAACAAGACAAAACAAAAACCCTTTCTTGGAATTAGAGAGGATGGAGCAAGATGGCTGAATAGAAGGCTTCACCAATTGTCCCCAGCCCGGTCCCCGCAAGGACACCAAGTAAACAACTATCTACACGGAAAAAACACTTTCATAAAAACAGAAAACCTAGTGAGCATTCACAGGACCTGATTTTAACTTTTTAACTTCATACTACTGAAAGATGCACTGAAAAGGTGGAAAGAACAGTTCGGAGTCTTCATGAATACCACTCCTTCCTACCCTCTGCAATGGGGACCTTGGTGGAGAGAACATCTCTGAGCACTGAGGTAGGAAGAACACAGCAATTGTGAAGCATTGAAGTCAGTGCTATCCTGTTAGAGCAGAAGCAAAAATGCGAACAAACTCAGCTGGTGCCTGCCCACAGAGGGAGCTTTTAAAGCAGCCCTAGCCAGAGGGGAATTGTAAATCTCAGTGATAGGTTGGAGCTTGAATGCCTGCAAACCTAGCCACAGAGGGCTCTAGTGCACTGTGTCTCCAAGTAAATGTGAAAGGCTAACCCGTAAGGACTGCAACTCTTAGGCAAGTCCTAGTACTGAACCAGGCTCGTAGGCAGTGGACAGTGGACAGTGGACAGTGGGGCAGAAGGGGATGCAACCTACTGAGACACCAGCTGGGAAAACCAAGAGAGTGCTGGCACCTCTAACCTAGGCTGTAGAGCTTGAGGGTCCAAAAGAGACCATTTTTTTCTGCTTCAGGAGAGGAGGGGGAAGAGTGGGAAGGACTTTGTCTTGCATCCTGGATGCCAACTCAGCCACAGCAGGATAGAGCACCAGGTAGAGTTGTGAGGCCCCCATTCTAGGCCCTAGATTCCAGATGAGATTTTTAGACACACCCTGGGCCAGAAGGGAACCCACTGCCTTGAAGGAAAGGACCCAGTCCTGGTAGCATTCATTCATCACTTGCTAACTGAAGCACCCTTGAGTCCTGAATAACCAGTACTGATACCCAGGTACTATGTTGAGGGCCTTGGGTGAGTCTCTGAGACTTGCTGGCTTCAGGTGAAACTCAGTACATTACCCATATGTATAAAATATTATTAGAGCTGAAGAAGGAGATAGGACCACATACAATAATAGTGGGAGACTTTAAGACCCCACTTTCAGCATTAGATGGATTTCCCAGACAGAAAATCAACAAACATCAGACTGCACTAAAGACCACATGGATCTAATAGATATTTACAGAACGTTTCACCCAAGAGCTGCAGAATACACATTATTTTTCTCAGCATGTAAATCATTCTGAAGGATAGACCATATGTTAGGTCACAAAACAAGTCTTTAAACATTAAAAAAAATTGAAATAATATCAAACATCTTCTCTGACCACAATGAAATAAAAGTAGAAATTAATAAGAAGAGGAATTTTGGAAATTGTACAAATACATGGAAATTAAAGAGTATGCTCTTGAATGACCAGTGTGTCAATGAAGAAATTAAGATGGAAATTAAAAAATTTCTTGAAACAATTGATAATGGAAACACAACATACCAAAACCTATGGGATACAGCAAAAGCAGTACTAAGAGATAAGTTTATAGCTATAAGTGTCTACATTTTCTGAAGAAAAACTCCGAATGAACAATCTAACAGTACATCTTAAAGAACTAGAAAAGAAAGAATAAACCAAATTCAGAATGAGCAGAAGTAACGAAAGAAAAAAATCAGGGCAGAAATAAATGAAATTGAAATAAAAAAATCCAAAGGACCAATGAAACAAAAAGTTGGTTTGTAGAAAAGTTAAACAAAAGTGACAAACCTTTAGCCAGACTAACTAAGAAAAAAGAGAGAAGATACAAATAAATAAAATCAGATATGAAAACGGAGACATTACAATTCATAGTGGCTACTATGAGCAACTGTATGACAATAAGTTGGAAAATCTAGAAGGAATGAACAAACTTCTAGATATATACAACTTTCTAAGGTTGAAGTTGGAAGAAATCCAAAAGCTGAACAGACCAATTACAAATAATGAGATTGAAGCCATCATAAAAAGTCTCCCAGTAAGAAAAAAAGCCTGGGACCTTATGGTTTTGCTGCTGAATTCTACCAAACATTTAAAGAACTAATAGCAATTCAAATCAAACTACTCTGAAAAATAGAGGAGGGAATACTTCTAAACTCATTCTACGAAGCTAATATTACTTTGATACGAAACCAGACAAAGACACATCAACAAAAGAAAATGATAGCCCAATATCTGCATGAATATTGATGTAAAAAATATCAACAAAATACCAGCAAACCAAGTTCAACAATGTATTAGAAAGATTAGTCATCAAGACCGAGGAGGATTTCTCCCAGGGATGCAAGGATGGCTCAACTTATGCAAATCAATGAATGTGATACATCATATCAACAGAATGAAGTATAAAAATAATATGATCATTTCAATTGATGCTAGAAAAGCATTTGATAAAACTAGACATCCCTTCATGATAAAATTCCTCAAAAAACTGGGGATAAAAGGAAATATCTCAACATAATAAAAGCCGTATATAGTAGAACCATAGTTAGCATCATGCTGAATGGGGAAAAAGTGAAAACCTTTCCTCTAAAATCTGGAACATTACAAGGATGCCCACTGTCAGCACTGTTATTCAAAATAGTACTGAAAGTCCTTGCTAGAGCAATCAGACAAGAGAAAGAAACAAACGGCATCCAAACTGGAAAGGAAGAAGTCAAATTATCCTTGTTTGCAGATGATATTATCTTATTTGGAAAAATGTAAGGACTCCATAAGAAAACTATTAGAATTGATAAACAAATTTAGTAAAGTTGCAGGATGCAATATCAACATACAAAAATCAGTAGCATTTCTATATGCCAAGAGTGAACTATGTGAAAAAGAAATTTTAAAAGTAATTCCATTTACAATAGTCACAAATGAAATTAAATACCTGGGAACTAACTAGAAAAGCTAAATATCTCTATAATGAAAACAATGAAACACTGATGAAAGAAATTAAAAAGGGCACAGAAAAATGGAAAAATATTCTGTGTTCTTGGATTGGAAGAATAAATATTGTTAAAATGTCCATAATACCCAAAGTAATATACAGATTCAATGTAATCTCTATGAAAATCCAATAACATTCTTCACAGATATAGAAAAAAAAAAAATCTTAAAATGTATGTGGAACCACAGAAGACCCAGAATAGCCAAAACTATCCTAAGCCAAAACAAAAAATAGAGTAATCCCATTACCTGACTTCAAATTATACTACAGAGCTGTAGTAACCAAAATAGCATGGTACTGACATAAAAACAGACACATAAAACAGTGGGACAGGATAGAGAATGCAGAAACAAATCCGCACACCTATAGTGAACTCGTTTTTAACAAAGGTGCCAAGAACATACACTAGGGAAAAGACAGCCTTTTCAATAAATGGGGGAACTGAATCAATATGCAAAAGAATGAAATTAGACCCCTATTGCTTGCCATGTACAGAAACCAAATCAAATCAAAATGGACTAAAGACTTAAATCTGGCCAGGTGTGGTGGCTCACGCCTGTCATCCCAGCACTTTGGGAGGCCAAGGCAGGTGGATCACCTGAGGTCAGGAGTTTGAGACCAGCCTGGCCAATATAGTGA